TCAGGGACACTGTCAGGGACACTATAAGGGACACTATCAAGGACACTGTCAGGGACACTATCAGGGACACTATAAGGGACACTGTCAGGGACACTATAAGTGACACTGTCAGGGACACTATCAGGGACACTGTCAGGGACACTATAAGGGACACTGTCAGGGACACTATCAGGGACACTATCAGGGACACTGTCAGGGACACTATCAGGGACACTGTCAGGGACACTATCAGGGACACTATAAGGGACACTGTCAGGGACACTGTCAGGAACACTATAAGGGACACTGTCAGAGACACTGTCAGGGACACTATCAGGGACACTATAAGGGACACTGTCAGAGACACTGTCAGGGACACTGTCAGGAACACTATCAGGGACACTGTCAGGAACAAGTTAAACAATCAACAGCGCTTGTGACAGTGAGATGCTCACTCAGGAGCTGACACCTAAATTTTGGATTAAAGGCAGAGGCCTGCTATCCAAGGGCATTGTGATTTTGTATGACAATGCATGTCCATAGACCTCTGTCCACACTGTTGACAAGCGACAGAGTATGCTCCGTATGGTCCTGATCCTGCTCCATCAGACTTTCACCTGTTTGGACCCCTGAAAGCAACCCTTCGAGGATGAAGGTTCACGTCTCATAAAGAATTGTAGACAGCTCGCAGTTTAGCCTGAAACATTTTTAAATAAGGGGATGCAAGAAAGCTTGTTGACGGATAGAGAAAGTGTATTGTAAAGCAAGGAGCTCGGACCTGCGCCATTCTTCCGATTGTTGTCTTGCTTGATTGAGCCCGTCGTCGCTACTGCCACTGTACCAAATCCATTGTGTTGGCAGATTGTCGTGTTTTCCTTTGACCTTGCACTTTACCAAGCATCATGTCCTTCTCCAGAAATTGATCCCTCCTGAGAACATGTCGAAAGTATGAGAGATAAAGTTTGGCCATCCTGGTTTATAAGGAGCATCTGGGTCTACTGCTTCCAACACAGATTGGTTTCTTCTGGCAGTTTACGATACTTTTAATATTTTCTGCCAACACCGTAATTAAAATGCATCAACCCTTCCTCAGGTTTTCTTACGTACTGTCCAACTTTCACATGCACACGAGACAATGGAAAAGAATATGACTTGGATCAGGTGTACCTTAGTCTTCAAAGCGACCTCTTTGCTTTTGGACGTTTTAAAGAGGTCTTGCCTAAACAGCAGATTTCCTAAATGCAGTGCATCGTTTGATTTCTTGACAGCTGCTTCCATGAAGGTTCATTGTGGATCGAAGCAAAATGAAATCTTTGACAACTTCAGTCTTTTCTCCATTTATCATGATATTATTTACTGGTCCAGTTGTGAGGATTTTTGTTTTCTTCACCTTGAGGTGCAAATCAGACTGAAGGCTGTGGTGTGTGATCTTCATCAGTAAGTATACTTAAGTCCTTTTTGCTTCTAGCAAGCAAGGTTGTATCATCTGCATGTCGAAGTTGGTAAATGAGTTTGCCTCCAATCCTGATTCCATGTTCTTTTTTATATAATTCAGGTTCTTGGATTGTCTGCTCAGCATACAGACTGAATAAATATAGTGAAAGAATAAAACCTTGCACATGCCCATCCTGATTTTAAAACATTTAGTATTCCCTTGTTCAAATGACCTTCTTGGTCTGTGTACAGGCTGCTCATGGCCACAATGAAGCATTCTGTCTAACCCACTGTTTGTATGTTAGCCATAGATTCTGTGTACAGGTTCCTCACGGTCATAGTGAAGTCTTCTGTCTATCCCACTGTTTGTAATGTTAGCCATAGATGCTCATGATTCACGCAGTCAAAGGGCTTTGGATAGTCAACAAGCAATAAGCGAATATTTTCCTGGTATTCTCTGCTTCCAGACAAGATCAATCTGACCTCAGCAATAAAATATCTCCACCGTTCATCTGTCAGTTTGTTGTACTATGGTGTCTTGCATGTTGCTGTGGTTCTGGAAGCTATGCCACTGGTATTTTAAATACCAGCAGGGTCACTCACGGTGGACAGGTTTCAGATGAGCTTCCAGATGAAGACAGACTAGGAAGAAAGAGAGGAGGACTACTTCAGAATATTTAGTCATGGCAAACCTTATGAATAGCAGTGGATCACTGTCAGCATCAGAATGTCGGATATTGAAACATGATGAAGAGCCCCTGAATGTTGCCAGATATAGTTGTCAGAAGATGAACCCCTCAGGTTGGAAAGTACTCAAAATGCGACGGGGGAAGAGCTGCCTCCTCAAAGTAGAGTCGACCCTGATGACATGAATGAAGTAAAGCCCTCGGGACCTTCATTTACTGATGGGGCACAACTCAAAGTGAAGAGAAACTACTGTAAGCATCCATTAATACTCGGAACATGGAGATCAAAACACAACTGCAAAGCCACTGACAATAATGGCACTGCCAAGTTGGCTCCTAGAATAAACCATCACACTTAGATTATGAAGACAATTAAATTTCACAGAGAACAGTTATGAAGTAGAAAGAAATAGAAAAGGTGAACTACATGTCTCCCTTTTACCACCTAGAGCACCTCTTTAGCATGTCACGCAAACTCAGCATCTGTGTTTCTTAGCTCACCAGTGATGTTATAATAGAAATACCACACAGGGATGTCTTTCACAATCAGATTTATTTATGAGGACGGAGAGACCAGACCATGGTACTGCACCTATGGAGTGACTTTCTTTCTCTGATGGCTCAGGAGGGGCAGGGCCTGGTGGTCCTCAGAGACCTCCACGTGTGTTGTTTCAATCTTCACCTGGATCTAGGAGGCCACATCACAAGGACCTTGGGTGCAAAGGACACCATGTAGCCCTGGCTCTTCCTTCTTGTGATACTCAG